GGCTGTTTTATTTACTTTTCTCACTCCTTGAGAAGCAAATACTTCGCGATGCAACTGGAAATGAAGATAAGACACTTTAGACGACGTATATATGTTGTATGCGCCATACTGTATTTGCATAAAATATCTATACATATAATAAAATTCTAACTAAGCCGAATCTGTACATTAGATATTTTTGGAACATCTTATTGAAATAGACATTATTATCGATACAGAGGACGAATCTATAGTTTTTAGAATTTTTGTCTGTCTGTCTGTTACCGCATCACAGAAAAAGTACAGGAGGGATTTTGATGAAATTTGATATGATGATAGCTGATTATACGGGTCAACATATAGGATACTTTTTACCGCGAGAAAATATCTCATTTCTGAGAAAAAATACAAAAACTGCATTGTAAGAGTATACTATGCAAACCCTAAGAATTTGCTTTTTCTTCATGTGAACGTGGGCGGAGCAGCGGGTAATGCTAGTCTTTAAATAATAAAGTCGAGTGCTGTCAGTTACTAGGAATTAGTAGTAAAGACTAAGTGAAAATTGATATTTCGGTACATTTCGATAACCAATAAACTAGTTAACCGCCCTCCTTTCTCTCTACATAACGTATTTCAAAAGTTGAATAGCTTATGGGGACCATTTTATATGTACACAAGCGATTTTATAACATTTTATAGGTGCGTTTTAAGGGTCAGTATGAAATACAATTCTTTGAATTTTTCGGCTTTTCTGTACTATAAAATGCATGTATTGTACATATAAATTTTCCTCTTGATCACGTTATCTATCGCTGAAAACTGCATTAAAATCCGTTGAGTAGTTTAAAAGATCTAAGCGAATCGAAAGCGAAAGCGACTTCATTTTATACTATGTAAAGATATAAAAAAAGATAAAAATTTGTTTGCGCCATCTTATTATCTCTACGGCTTCTGCATTCTCTCTCGATGTAATAAATCAAATCTATAGATCAACTAACAAAACTAAAATCACGTATATATTAATTATAATATTTAATTAACCATAGTAAGTAGAAGCGGTGATGGGTACTCAGGATATAAAACATACTTTAAAAAGATACAATTATGGCCTTTACAAAAAATTAAATTAAATTATTCCAAGTGTACTTATACCCTTTTGTATTATACCTATCCTGAAATAAAATGTATGACCAATAAAGTGGAAAAACTGCATATTTCATTTTTTAGAGATTCACGCATCGTAATATTTAATAGACATGGAGGCAATTTTTCCAATTATTTTTAAATCCCTGCGTAGAGGCAGCAACGAGGCATTCAATCGACGCGGGTAGTTAGGAAATCGGCTCTTTGTGCGCGTCGTGTAAGCCGGGGCGGGCGCCGACTAATTAGACGGCTTTGTAAAAACACCCTACGATACAGTTAACTGTTTCCAGCCATATTGCCACGTCGATACCTATCCCGTTTTTACGTTTTACGCATGACTACGCTCTCGTATAAAAAAGCTTTACGTTGTAAAAGATTAAATTGATTTTTTTTTGTTGAAACTATTTATTCAAACTTTTTAGTAATATTTTGCAAAATAAATGCTCGGTTGGTCAAAAGTTTAAAATACCTTCGAATATAGGTCACTGCACTTATAAGGAGTTGAATGAAAATTTAAGTTTAACCTTTTCCTGTCCAATTCAAACTTTCCAAACAAAATAAGTCCCGAAACCGCGACTTCGCTCGCGTGGAACGCCAATTATAAAATATTAATAAAATCGTTCAAATGTCTAAAAAAATATTTTGAACATTATTTTGACGTAATCTTTATTACCTTACTAGCGACTCACAATCGCTTCGCTGCGACTCGTCCCTAAATACGTTTTAACGGTTAGTATGAAATACAAATCTTTGAATTTCTCGGCTTTTCTGTACTATGATATTAAATATGCATGTATTATACATATAAACCTTCCTCTAGAATCACTCTATCTATTAAAAAGAACCGCATCAAAATCCGTTGCGTAATTTTAAAGATCTAAACATACATAGGGACAGACAGACAGCGGGAAGCGACTTTTTTTTATACTATGTAGTGATTACCGATATAATTAATAGAAATTTTAACTATTAATTGTTTATAATATTATGTATGTTTTTAATAATTCATTTTCATAATTCATACAAATTAGCTATTCGATATTCACCATATTTTGCATGGTTATAGTATACAAAGACAGCAGACCGATATAGTAATTTTATAATGGTAAATAAATAGGGTCTCCGCGGAAATTTTATGTACGTATTTGATTAGCAAATGTGTGAAACTTCCTTAAAAATAAATATAAAATGTTGCTTAGAAAACGGGTGAGAAAGTGAAAACATACCTAATTTGTATATAATATACAATTTGCTTAGTTAATATACCTTGTATAAAATATTATTTATTCGGTAAACAATAAGTTAAGGTGACCTATTTTAAATTAAGAGTAATATTTTCTTATTAGCAAATATTTGGCATTTTAAATAAACTGTCTTTTCGTATTTTGTCGCGAATTTGTTGTGATTTTTAGTTTCCGACGTTTCGAATGCTTAACAACAATCATGGTCACGGGAGAGATGACCACGGGTCTCTCCCATGACTATGAGATTTATATACCTATACTATATATAATATTCTTTATTGCACTTATACGTAAAATACAGACATTAACAAACAATAAAATTAGTTAGCAAAGGTGGACTTATCACTTATCTCTAGAAGAGATCTCTTCCAGTCAACCTAATAGTCCGTAGTAGTTTAGTTTTATTTAAGACTAAAAGTAACAAAAGGTCAAATAAATTTTAAGAAATTAAAGAATGAGTCATCTTCATATTATGTGATATCTAAGACACAGGTGTAGACATTCATAACTTAAAGAATAAAAAAAATCTACTTCTGAATAGAATTTATGCTAAATATAACTTTAAATTACAAGCAACGCATTTTATATGACATGAATCAAATGAACCACTTTTTCATTAAATAAAAAACAATATAAGAAAACTTCTACTTATACTGGAATAAAAATTATCATCTTATTAATTGAAATGACAATAATTATAATACTAACACGTTACGACATCTGTTGGAGAATAGTTGAAACAAAATACTTATTTCACAAATTCTAAAAATTAAATTATTTTTTATAATATATCTATATTAGATATTGTTCTATAGCTGTGCATTATGTCTAATAATACTATGATAATAATATATATTTTATTCTTGTTCCTTATCCAGTAGGAATGTTTTAGATGTACAGTGTCCGTGACTATATTTATTTTAATGGAAAATAAAAATAAAAAATTGTGCTGCAGGTCGACGCATTATCATCCTAATATATAGTCTATAGATCATTAATGATACCAATATATATAGTAACTGTTATATAATAATAGAATATATAATACTGAAAACCTATATCCCCTAGGAAAATTTTAATTTTCCAGGATAAACAGTATCCTAAACATTGACTCAGATATATTTAAAATGACCAACTTTAAAAAGTCGTTCAGAAGTTTTTTATTTATGATTTATATTTAGTTAACAATTCTAATAATAGATGGCGCTGAATAAAACAAAATCACGATATAATTAATTATTGCAGTATTATTGCAAACGATCTCTTATTTATCAAATACTATATGTAGAGATTCGAAAATATTCTATTTAGATAATGGAAATACATAGTAAAGCAATGGGGATGATCTATTTACATTCAATCTAAGGTTAAAAAATTTATTATGATCTCTTTTGTACCAGGTTTTTCGCTTCTATTGTGTTCGCATCATACCTATGCAATGTGTTGTACATGGATGATAGTGCAGCTGAAGGATCAAGGAAGAATCGAGAACGAGAGGTGCATCCTGTGGTGGTTCTGACTGATGGATCAACACACAGCCAACACCGCTAGTCGTACAAACGTGTTTGGAGGACGTATTCGTTATAAGATGTAGGCAACGGACAAGAAAGGATTTTTCGAAATTTATCCTAACCCTAAGTAGGTTCTTAGGGATTAAAGATTATATGAAACTCTGTCATTCTTAATATGAATTACACAGAAAATAGTGTTTAGCTTAAAGATCCAATATAAGAAATATATTTATTAGATGTTTTCGAAATTCATCCTTTAAATTTTAAATAAAATGAAAAAAAACTTTCATCCACGCTAGAGATTTACAATATACTGAAGATTTACAATATCATTTGGATCTGGCAATATTCTTCCCCATTTAATAAGTGTCTCCCTGCACCCATGTGAAGCTGGAACCTGTATATTCATTATTATATCTTTTAACTTTTTATAATATATTGTTATATGTTATTATCACAGCTTTGAATCAGCACAATTTGAAAATTTTCTGTATGCCACTAGAAGAGAATATTTTTTCCCACTTTGTTCATAAATATCATCATACCAGTAGACTATAATCTTATTATTTTTACAAATAATAAGTATTTTAGTAATACTGGTAATACAGAGTATTAAAAGAAGTTTAAAGTAGACTTAGGATTTGAAGTGATATTGTTAATTTTTTTTACATTTAAGTAAATGAAAGCTTGAAAAAAAGTGGATGTTGAGTACAGCCTAAAAAATCTTATGGTTTTTTTAATCTATAAACAATAAGCTAATCATATGCATAAAAAATGTCACATAAAAAGTATAGTTATATTTAGAAAACATTTTTTTATGAAATGAAACAATTGAATCTGTAGCAAGTCTATATTTGGTAAAAAGCTGGAATGCAATACATTAAATGCATCATTCATATTCTTAATCCAGCTATAAATAAAAAGAATCTCCTATTTATCAATAGTAAAATTAAAATTAGTGACAAAATATTTTGAATATACACAAAATTATAATAATTAAGTTTTTTTTTTAACTTTTACTACATACAATTATCAAAATATTTTTAATATAAAGAAATTTTATAAATTCATGAACTTATTATTGACTGTAAAATAATTTCAATACTGGCAATATTTAAACTTATGTCATGGTACCAAATACTGGATTGTGCCTGCAAATACTAGGACCATATTCCATATACGCTTGTTTGCTGTGACACACTTGATAAAATTCAGGTGTAGAACCCAGCATACTTCCACCAAACCACACAGCATATCTTTGCATGTTATGTGATATAACTTGAACATCAATTGGCTTGGGTGTAATTCGTCCCTCCGACAACATTGTAGATAGTTTCAATCTAGCATCTACAGTTCTTTTGATGTCTCTTTGAAGTCTTCTCCCAAAGTCTCTAAACATAGTAGAACCCCCAGACAAAACAATATTTCCATATAAACCTCTTCTCACATCAATAGGACAACTTTGAATAACTTCATCTACCATCTCATTTAAAGGCACAGTAAAATCAGCATTAGAAAATTCTGGATGGAAGAAAATTTCTGGTCCCAAAAACCTTTCATATCCAACATCAACTGAGAAAGGATTTTTTGTAATTGCATTAGTCCCCGTATACTTTTTCATCCACTTACCTGGATCAGAATCATACTTTGCAAATTCCTTTGCAATATCAGGGCAAATATAACTGTACCTTTCCTTTATTGCCTTTGCGGTTTCTAAGCTCTGTTCTGGAGGGATACCTACTTCACGTTCACGAAGCAGTGACTGAATGAATGATGTGATATTTCGGCCAGCTATGGGAATATGTTTAATACATGACCCAATCACATAACCTTCTGCTACAGGCACAATATGAGTAACTCCATCACCACTATCCACAACAATTCCTGTAAAGGTGCGGCCAGCCGATGTACGCGATTTCCATGATGCGGCGAGTGCGAGAACAGCTTGTACTGCAATGTACAACCCAGGTACATTGAACGATTCAAACATAATCTCTGCTAAGTATTCACGATTTTCCGGTGTATTTAATGGTGGTTCGGTAATTAAAAAGTGATGATCTTCTGGTTCCGCTCGAAGATATTTGAAAATACATTGTTCAATGTACCTTTCCATTAAATCCCAGTCCTCCACTAGACCATGACGAACAGGATATTTCACTGAATATCCTGTTGCTTCGAATGCCTCATCACCAATAAAGAAATCTAAATCTTCAACTGCTTTAGTCATACGCCTAGTACTCTGATCACCAACTTTAGCAGTTTCTTTTATCGCTATGGCTGACGGAATGATAAACTGAGGCTCCTTATTACCGGCGAAACCCAATTTGGTATAGCCGGTACCTACATCAATAACACACGCTGGCAAGTGGTCACCCATATTTTTTCAATTAATAAAGTTATTTAAAAGGGTGCGGCGTTATTTTACAATATTTTTGACGTGGGAAAACAACACTTCGAATGACAAATCCAATATGTCAGCGAACGGAAGATGAAGATGATTAATACAACGTAAAACGTTCCGTTTCACAAAACATTTTTTATTAGATTAGTGTAATATTATAAAATATTACTATTGATTATATTTATAATATCATTTACTGCTAAAAACAATTAATTTTGTTCATGGAGTTCAAGATTACTAATAATAAAGCTGATTGCCAGCAACAATTGATTGTTGATAACAAGAAAGTTTTAAATTAAAATCATATCGTCATAACTTTTGTTTTTATTATAATAGTATACATATAATAAAATTGTAACTAAGCCGAATCTGTACATTAAATATTTTTTGGAAAATCTTATTGAAATAGACATTATTGTCGATACAGAGGCCGAATCTATAATTTTAGAATTTTTGTCTGTCTATCTGTCTGTTACCGCATCACGGAAAAACGACTGGAGGGATTTTGATAAAATTTGGTATGATGATAGCTGGTTATCGGGGTCAGCATATAGGATACTTTTTACTGCAGGAAAATATGTAATTTTTGAGAAATCGATACTAAACATTAAAACGTAAGTAGGGACGAACCCGAGCGAAGCGAGGTATGTATGTGTACACAATAACGAGAATTAAATCACAAATTCATATTTTGGCTCCGTGGGAGGTTTTTGTCTAAAATTAATGCCCATTCATTCTATGGTGTCACATTTTTTCATACACATATACTTATTTGACGAAGAAGAGTAAAGGTTGCAAAATTCGACGTCCGAAATCCGTTAAGAATTTTGATTTTTTAAATGTCAAATCTATACATATAATAAAATTGTAACTAAGCCGAATCTGTACATTGAATATTTTTTGGGAAATCTTATTGAAATAAATATTATTATCGATACAGAGGCCGAATCTATAGTTTTTAGAATTTTCGTCTGTCTGTCTGTTACCGCATCACGGAAAAACCACTGGACGGATTTTGATGAAATTTGGTATGATAATAGCTAGTTATCCGGGTCAACATATAGAATAGTTTTTACCGCAGGAAAATGTTTCATTTTTGAGAAAAAATACAAAAACTGCAATGTAAGAGTATACTAATATGTAAAACCTACGAATTTGGTTTTTGGTCATCTGAACGCGGGCGGAGCCGCGGGCAATGCTAGTTTAATAACAATTTTTAAAAGACGATTATTAAGCTCTTTAAGAGTTTATTAGTTCAAGAATTATGATTTATTAAAGCACTTAAAAGTAGAAATTGAGATGTTTTATTCAATATTCATGCTGCGAGTCTCGTTACATGTAAGTATAATGTTTAAATTATGTTTGTCTACTTGTTCCAATTTTTTAGTTTGCTTCTTACGCAGTCGGTTAATTATATTATTTCCCCTAATTTTCATTCGCAACTTTTTTTAGTTTTGCTCAGTTAAACTTTTAGTTTTATTTAAAAAGTTGTTATCTCAAATAAGTTTTGAAATCGGCTCTTAAAAAAATCCCATTGATACCCCCACTCGATAGATTTGGAAGAAACTTTATTTCAAGACACAAATTGGAACCTAAAATCAGTCATTTTGACTTTTAGTAATATTCATTTATCCTGACATTTATATAAGTTATTTTGTCATCCATAGTTATCAAGACGAATCTTTTATCTTACGACGTATGAATCATCAATTTCGGTTATGCCATTTAGTAATTACGAGGGAATATACGGTTGGGCATACATTTATACATACATACAGGTTAAATAATTTCGATGACAATTGAGCTCGTTTGAGTTCAAAGTTTGATTCAAAGAGAGGGTAATCGCTAGTATACATATAATAAAATTGTAACTAAACCGAATCTGTACATTAAATATTTTTTTGAAAATCTTATTGATATAGACATTATTATCGATACAGAAGCCAAATCTATAGTCTTTAGAATTTTTGTTTGTCTGTCTGTCTGTTATCGCATCACAGAAAAACCACTGGAGGGATTTTGATGAAATTTGGTATGACGGTAGCTGGTTATCCGGATCAACATATAGGATACTTTGTACCGCGGGAAAATATCTCATTTCTGAGAAAAAATACAAAAACTGCAAAGTGTATACTATTATGTAAAACCTAAGAATTTGGTTTTTGGTCATCTGAACGCGTGCGGAGCCGCGGGCAATGCTAGTTAATAATAAAACTAAAAAAAAAGCAGGTAATAACATATTTATTGTGACCCGATTCTATTACTATATTTACACAATATACATTACAGGAATGTAAATGTATCGTTTTCTCTTATAATTTTTATAGCCAAAAATATTTTAATATTTATTAAGATTATTTAATTCCAGAAGCGACTTCACAAATTCCTTTTAATTTTTTTTTCTAATATAAGTCGATATAGTATCTTATAATATTATCATAATATTATTAAATGGTTTACTTTTATTAAAGAAATACTTTTTGACAGATTTTATATGGAAAACTCAGATATTGTTAACTTAAATCGGGAGAGGTTTTTAAATAAAAGTTAAGATTACATTACTGCATATAAAGTATTAATTTTGTAGGTCTTCAGAAATATACTTTTTGTCAAAGCCGCCACTGAATAAATAAAATAATTAAATATATTATAACATATGTCCTAAACAATAAACAAACAAGACTATAATCCTGTAATGTGTATCTTACAATATAAGCAGAAAGCAGCGAATATTTTTTTTACAATTTAAGCTTTCGCAATATTTAATTATTTTTTAAATAATAATGTAATAAAATATTGTAATTCAAGATTTACTTGAAATTGCAAATACATTACAAATAATTTTGTACTGAAAAGATTTTATTAGGATCTGCTACTGCAGTAAATACATATTCAGTTTAAAGTTAAAATTTGTTATTGAATATATTTCATTAATAAACAGTTAATGTTTGATATAATAAAAATTGGTAATGAGCTATTCTTATAACAAATTAGTAATTGTAATATGGAGATATTGCTTTGCGTAGGTGCACACATACTAGGTTGTCTATCTGTTATATTATTTATTAGGTTACACAAGGGTTATTTTGCTAAATTGTAAAAAAATACACCTATATATTTTTTCATACACTTAATTAAGTAGGCTAACCTGCATAAATATGATTCAAAACAATTTATCTTTACAACAAATAATGAACAAAGTTAACTAAATATTTAACTTTATTAAAAAGAAAAACATTTTTTTTTCATATTAATATCAGTATCGTTACATCAGACTTAACGTAAATGGGTAGACAGAACCACAACATTATAATATATTATATAGTCATACAAAATCAGCAATTGCAATAGTCTATGATTGTCTATTTCAAAGACAATTTTTTAAATTTCTCACCACATTGCATAATCTGAGTCGTCCATATCAAAGATGGTGAAGAAGCCTAGAATGGTCAGATATACAATCACATTGCCGGCTAGAGTTAAATAACATGCACCCCAAAGTATCTGAAAGAAAAACTATAATTTTTACCAACTTTTTAGCCTTATACTTACTTCTTACATCTTGTAAGAAGTTAAGAATATAATTAAATGAGCACATAATAACAAAAAACCATAACAATAAAGTTATATGAGCACATTATGTTATAAGCAGACAACACTGTAACTAACTCTATCGGAGGTGTAGTGGCTAGCATGTATGGCTCTAGATCACGAGGGCCTGGGTTCGAATCTCGGGTCGGGCCAAATTTAACTAAAGCTTTACTGTTAAGGAATTTTCAGTAACAGGAGTTGGGAAATTGTCGGAATTTCAACCCCGTGCCTTGGAAAACACGTAAAGGCTCGAGTCCTCTGCCTTAACTCTCAAGGAATAGAGAATGCACTTGTCTTTGCGCAGATGGCTGTGCACTATATCAAAATCATAAATAGACATCAAAGGTTTTGTAAAAACAAAGTAAAAAAATAATATTTTAATTTATTTCATTTTATAAAATCTTATTTTCTATACAAATAATAAAATTGTAACTAAGCTGAATCTGTACAATTATGTAACAATAAATATTTTTTGGAAAAGCTTATTGAAATAAACATTATTATCGATACAGAGGCCGAATCTATAGTTTTTAGAATTTTTGTCCGTCTGTCTGTTACCCCATAACAGAAAAACCACTGGAGGGATTTTGATGAAAGGTATGGCGATAGCTGGTTATCTGGGCTCAACATAAAGGATACTTTTTACCGCGGGAAAATCACTTTACTCATTTCTGAGAAAAAATACAAAAACTACAATGTAAGAGTATACTAATATGTAAAACCTAAGAATTTGGTTTTTCGTCATCTGAACGCTCGCAGAGACTCTAATAATAAAAAATAGATAATTATTATTTAATATAACATATAAATTATTTATTAAATGTTTCAACATATTACGATAAACGTAATAATATATATATATATACATATATATATATATATATATACATATATATATATACATATATATATATACATATATATATATATATATAATAAAATTGGTGTCAGTCATATAAAATATTTTCTCTTTTGTATGACTGACACCAATTTTTCTGTCAGAAGATAAAAATATAATCTGCTAACAGATAAAATTTTACATTGTCTTGCTAGGGATTAACCTTGCAATATCAGTTTTAAGCACACAAAAATTGTACCTATTTCATATTTGACAAATAAAAATATATGATTGTATAATAACATGAGTAATAAATAGAAATACCAGTAATAAATGTTCTAGTAAACAAAATCAGTCCAACAGTTTTTGAGAAAAATCCTACATGCTATTACATCTACTTTTTACATAAAGATTAGGAGAAATATTTAAAAAAATATTTTAAATTTGTGTTTATTAAGTAAAGGTTTACTAAAAATATTCTGAAATTAAACATTATGTACATTGACAAAGGGTATTAATTAAAACTATACATACCGCATGGGCCCTTGCCAGTACAATTGGTAAGGCAAATGAGCTGACAAGAATACCCATAGTAATGAAGATGGCTGTCTCCATACAGGGCGAGTTAGTGCCACCAGCAGTGTCTGTATGCCTTCGTGCAATCATCGTGGGAATCGGGCAAAGTATATAGAATAGCACAACAAAGAATGGCCACCATAACCTGAAATATAAATAGTATACTGTACAGCAACTTGATTACTCGTGAAGTATTAATATGGACCATTGTGAATAATGACCAAGAGCATCGTTCAAATTGATTTTATTACTTTGGCTGGCCCATATTAGATTATTATTAGCATAACCTGCACTTACTTAAGATTATAAATGCAAAATGTTTGTTAATTTGTCTTGTGGGTTGAAGAGTATCGTCTATGATACTCTTCAACACTCACAAAAACTTTTAAAGGATCACTTTTCTTCATTATGGTAATAGTTTTACATACATGCTGTAGTAAAATTTTCACATCAAACTTTAACAAGTAGTGTAGATTTGTAAAAGAATTGGCTGTAAGGTTTCATAGATTAGGTAATACAAATAGAGACAGTCAAAATATTCTTTAAATGCCAAACTTTATGTAATAAACTATAAAAAAATGACTTCTTCTTTAACTTCTTGTTTAATTTTTAGACATTTTTCTAAATTTAAGAATTTTACTTCACCATGGATGTGTATATGTAAGTGTATACTTACTTATATTGTGGTAAGGCACAAGCTAATATAACAAAAGTCATTCCAATTGAACCCGCAAATGCCAACGACACCAAGCTAAAAATTAAAAATTTCAATTATTATTTAAAATGATGTATGTAGGTATACATTTATATCTATAAAACTAGTATAATAATTTTTTATAATATACTAGCAAATTGTATTGATCAAGATTGCCAATTTTACTCAGGGATTAGGTGCTTGAGAAACAACAGGAATATAAAAAAATTATAATTGATTCCCACATATTTGCAAGCAAATAAATTTTATTTGTTTATAAGTGTAAATAGGAAATGACAATGATTTATTCTAAGTGAACTCTAAAGACTAAAATCTATAAAATATAAATTATATCTTTTATAAAGATCTAAAATTCAGTTTTAATACTTTCTTAGATTTATACATAAATCTAAGAAAGTATATATTTGAGATTTTAAATAAAACTATCTTTTCAGATTATTTCGCGGATTTATTTATTTTATACTATTATTATAGCTGTGCTTCAAAAAACAGCTGGTTGACATTAATATTAATCCATATCTCAATATAGTAAAGAATTAAGATGTTTATGGAGTATATGTATAAAAGTAGCAAGTCACTATCTAATCTTAAAATAAAATTGTATGTATATTATAGGATTAGAATTATTTTCCTACAGACTAATTCAAATGGGGTTAAAGTATGTTTTATCAATTTAACAAATATTCTTCATACCAAAATTCCAATACCAGGTTTTATTTAAACTTATTTTGCATAAAATATTTACAAATATTTGAATAATATTGTACAAGTATAACTTTAGAAACCAACAACAATATTATCGTGTTCCATTTTGTTCAACATTGTAAGTATGTAACTTCATCTTCCTGCAATTTATCGATTTTGTTTTAATAAGAAAATTTTAAAAATAACACTTACCCTTTAAATAATCCATTATGGGAGCGTGGAAAGAAAAAAGTAAAGTTTAGTATAATAATCTAATATTCAAACGGCATAAAATTGTGTTTGTAAATAGAACAAATACAATGAGTCACACAAATAAAAAAGGAATGATTTTTTTTATATTTACGTTAAACAAAAGACCTACGATATATATACCTTTGATTCCAGCCATCGTTGATAGTAAATAATATTGTATATTAAATTCTTACATCTACTAAATTACTTATTTTATAAAAAACTTTCGGAAATTAGAAGGAAAAGTCACAGGCAGTGCAGCAGATAATAAATTGATTAATGATTATTGCTGTCAGAATCACAGATAAGTTTAATCATTAATATCGATGGTTTACGTTAAGCTGGTTTTAAATGTTAATCCATTCTTATTTCTTAAGAGTATAAAAACATAATAGACTAGCGGCTCACCCTCGCTTCGCTCGGGTTCATCGCTAGGTACGTTTTAAATAAATATAAATAGTTATTAACCATTTTTAGCCATATATATTTTTTCTGTTTAATTTTTCTGATGTTTTAATACTTATTATCCTATTCTGGATTAACTTTTCAAAGCACGCAAAGCCACAGGTGGCTCGGTTAACAATTAATTTCTTAGAATTTAACCTCGAGGTGCTAAGAGAAGTCCAAAAAATCAAATATCATAAAAGTTGATCTAGCCGTTCTCGAGTTTTGCGCTTAGCAACATTCATTTTTATTTATATAGATAATTTTTACTGACCGGGAAAGTGACGAGTCATCCAGTTTTACTTACATTGCCCATTTAATACAGGCGTCATGTACATAGACCGGTCATTATTCATAGTGACCGGAAACGTCAAGTTCCTCATGATGATGATGATGTTCTCCTAGCCGATTCCGGCCACGGCGGCCAATCTCAATGAGATTAGCCAACTGCGCAGGAGATATTATAGTGCTCGAGTGTACGCGCAGACACAAGTGCACTCTCTATTCCTATCACTCTCATACTCCGGTGGGACGACCACTCGACACGACCGGTGAGAGTTAAGGCGCAGGACCGACGGCTTTACGTGCTCTCCGAGGCACGGGGGTGAAACACCGCCAACTTCCCAACTCCGGGCTGTTACTGAGACTTACTATACAGGAAGACTCAATAACTAAACTTGGCCCGACCCGGGACTGAATGAAAACTGGCACACTTTAAACATATATCATTTACCAATCAATTACCATTATTATGTTTTGCATTCATGAAACATGTACTAGGAATGTAGTCTGTGGTATTTAGTCTGCTGTCATAGAAATATATATTGCTTGAGGCTGGTCTGTGCTTGAGGCCAAGTTATTGTCAGACCCTAGATTACAAACTTTTGTCACTGACAAATTGTCAGACCGCACTCGCAGATGTCAGTTGTCACTTGTCACTTGTTAGTTGTTAGTATTGTGATTTGTGTTGTTGCCTGTTGGTTAGCATTTGTAAAAATAAGTATAGATTTGGTAAATAATAATTATTATATGCATAACTTTTAACCTACATAAAACCTACTTATTTCTAAGCCTAATTCATAAAAGTACTACAATATGGATGATGATGCCGAAACATATAAACTTTGGAGAATCCGTAAAACAGTCATGCAGGTTAGTCAAGAGGTTATATATTAGAAGAAGTATTTGTGAAAACATAGCCAACTGTGCCTAACCAATTATAGGGCTCTTATAAGTTAAGATTCTACTACTCTGTTTATTCTATAAGTTTTAAAGCATTGTATTATATTTAATAATATTTAAATAATGTTATAGATGTTGAAATCAATTTTCTGGTATCATTTTTATATAGTTTCTGCTAATAAATAAATATATTGTTGCAGTTATGTCATGACCGTGGTTACCTAGTTACACAAGATGAATTGGATCAAACTTTAGACCAATTTAAAGAACAATTTGGTGACAAACCTAGGTAAGATTATTTGATTAAAAATCACAATTAATTACTCTTAACATATTATGTATGTAATTATTTTAATTAATAGACTGTTATTACTGTAACTTTTTTTTTCTTAATGGCTTAGAGCTGCGTTTGCAAAAAAAAAACTGTAACTTATTAGTAGAGTACAGAAATGAAATTGCCTAGATAAATTTCATGGGATTAAAAAATAGCCAAGATTAATTTTAATCAGTTTATATTATATTAATTAACTTCTTATAGTTTTGTTTCATATTTAAGGCTATTGAGTGAAATCAAAATATATTTAAAAATATAAGGTAACACATTAAAATTAAAGAAATAATAACTTACCTAAATACAGTTTTGTAGTTTCAGACATTTTTCTATCGAAAAGATTTTTCTTGATTTTTTTATCCAATGCTTGCATTTTTGAAGTATATGTAACAATTTTGAGTTAAAGAAATTTTACTAATAATGCAGTTAAATATATAATACATAAATGGTTCATGAAAAATGATTTTTTTTGTATAAAATATAACTTTTTTATGATTGACATTGTCAGATTATTATTGACAGGTAATCATTAAAAAAACTTTTCTATAGAGTACAGGGCTAATAGATTACAATAATTTACAAACACATTATTCTTACTTATTGTTAGGGTGACATGCCACTGGTAAAATTCTTTTTTGATGTCACATGAAGAAAATTAGATGAACTTATCAAATGTAGTAATTATTATTATTATTAGGGAAATAATAACAATAATGCTAGTAGCGCTGTTGACACAATGATTGAATCACACTATAAAGATATTGCTTCCCCGTTCCATGATTGTCCATTGAGGACCTGTAGCATAATGCAGTACAAAAAATGATTGAATCTTTGGCAAAAAGAAAGACTTGACCTGTTTATAAGGTATACCACCTTATCCCCCCCAACGTGCGTTCACCTTGTCGTGGTGGGGGGGCTCAGTAGTGCCCGGCAATACAGTCGGGTGCGAAGCCAAGAATCGCACAGGGTGGTGGCCCACTTCGGTGGACGGAGGGAGGTGGCCCTCTTCAGAGGGCGGTGTACCATGCGGGTTGCTCCTGGTACTTCTTTGATAGCAGAGTGGACCTTGGAGCAACCCCATGGTTGTTTGGTCTGCTTCGGCAGACCTGCCGTCGGGGCGTCGTAGTTGAATGCGTAAGCGATCCTGCGCCGCCCCATTAAGACGGGGGAAGGCTTTGTTGGGTTTTAGTGGGTAGTACTCGCTAAGCCGGTGAGTCCCACAAGTCGTGCGTACATGCATTTCCCAACGTAAAAAAAAACACCACCTTATAAACACCTGTTGATCGTATTTGAATCAATAATTTTTGCATACAAGATATTATATTATAATGTATTGAAAATTTTAAATTGAGGTATTGATATAATTTAACATTTTTAGTATGTTGCTTTTTTATGTCAAGTTAATATATACAAAACATTTTAGTTTTAGTATGCTCTTTATAAGGGAAATAAGAATTTACTAACTATAATTTACTTTTGTGTATTCAATAATAATTTTGAATTCAGCTCCTGTATTTAAAGGACCAAGGAAATGCCTTATGTTTCCTTTATACTCAGTAAATACTAATATTACATAAAAATATCCTTCATTTTAGTGAGAAGCGGCCAGCTAGAGGTGACTTGATAGTGTTAGTAGCTCATAATGATGATCCAACAGACCAGATGTTTGTGTTTTTCCCTGATGAAGCTAAAATTGGTATTAAAACTATCAAAACATATTGTACGAGAATGCAAGAAGAAAATATTCATAGAGCTATTGTTGTTGTTCAAGCAGGTAACCACTCATAAGATTTTGTTTATAATTCTAATTGTTTCCCATAAGTAGATTATATAAATAAAATCTTATCTATTATAATTTTCTAGGTATGACTCCATCAGCAAAGCAGTCTTTGGTTGATATGGCTCCAAAGTATATTTTAGAACAATTTTTGGAATCAGAATTATTAATCAACATAACTGAGCATGAATTGGTCCCAGAACACATTGTATTGACACCCGATGAGAAGCAAGAACTGTTAGCGAGATAGTATCCTTTTGTTTCATGACATACCTAACGTTGTAATGTTAGGCAAACCTTTAAATTTTTTGCTACTGACTTTTTTGCCTATATTTTAGTATTTTTAATTTTTTTCAATATAAAATATTTTTTTCATCTGACCAGGTACCTGAATCCAGGGTTTTATTATTTGTCTGTAGCTATTTTGAGTTATAATAAAAATTTAATTGTATAAATCAATTACATAACGATTTGGCGCCTAATAAAATAAAATAGCTATATAAAAAGCAATGAAATCCTAAATGGATATTGTGATAATACATTCTTTAGTTTACCTCTTACCGTTAATGTAATTTTTATGATGGCTTAGTACTTTTTAGATTTACGGGTATATTTGATATTTGCAACTAATGTTTGTTTCGATATGTAGATTTTTGCAACAAGTGATCCACACGTTTGTGTGTTTCCAAAGATTTGAAGTTTGTGGCATGTGACAAGCATGTGGATATAGCATTTCTATCGACGGAGACCAAAAACTAAAATAAATCAGCGAAAAAGCAAAAAGATGGGTTTTATTTAAAATGTTATGATGGTTATTATTTTAGGCTTATTGATTATTCTGTTATAATGTTACATAATCCTTAACCAATAACACAGTAAATTGAAAGAAAACATGTTGATGAGAATACAGGCAGGAGATCCGGTTGCGAGGTACTTTGGACTTAAACGAGGACAGGTAAACTACATATTATATTTTATATAAAAACAAAAACAAATCTATCTCTGTGCCAAATTTCATCCAGATCCATTCAGCCGTTCTGGCGTGAATGAGTAACAAACATCCATCCAAACATCTAAAGTTTTACATTTATTAATATTAATTAGTATAGATTTAAATTCTACAATCAAGTACATATTGCTTCTTTACGGATTTTTGACCAATAAATTGTCAACAGATTGTTTATATCACCTCCAGGTAAGTTTCTAAAAAAATAATTAAAATTCTAAGAAAGCTATTATTAACTGACATCTCGTGGTGTCCGTGGTCGTGGAGGATGCAAAGCATTTTTAATTAGTTATATTTTTATTTTTTTTCCAGGTGGTTAAAATTATAAGATCATCAGAAACAGCAGGAAGATACATTTCATATAGATTAGTTTGTTAATATAAGACATGATATTAATAAAATTTCATTTTTCTAGCTTACTTGTTTCATTTCCAACTGAATTTTTTTGGTAATAAAATAAGACTGCTTACTTATAGTTTTATTCAAAAATTGAATAATTTGCAACCTAATAAGTAGCATTAACATTATATAAAGTAATTACGTCAGATTTTTATTATGTTCATCTGATCCGAAGCAGTCCTGAGTATTATTAGGCATTCAGCCCCTTTTTTTAACGTCCCACTGCTGGACACGGGCCTCCCTTTACTACAAGGAGATCAGGTCATAGTCCACCACTCCGGCCAAGTGCTGGTTGGTGCTAGGTTCTCTCAGACATGCACATTTCCTCACGATGTTTTCCTTCACCATAAAACAAGTAATCATTTTTGGAAATAATTCGCACATGAAAATATCGGGATTTGAATCCGGTTCATTCGGTTTCCAAGCGAGCGCACTATCACTGGGCTACCACTGCTTTGGAGTTTTATCAACGACAAAAACAATATTTCAAATAAATGTTACTGAACTTCGAAATCCATATTTTATTATATTTTCCATATCTATAAATATTCTAATTACAAATGAATGTTTTAATCCAATTATCTTCGAGAATAAAACACTAAAGGGATATTAGTGATGCCCTCTACGTTTCGCGCACAGTCCCCGTACATGACTCGTCGAGAATAAATAAAGAAGCAATAGTTCAATTATATGTCAATAGATGGTGTTACATATAATTTGTTATTAATGCATGTGTAAAATCAGTAAAAGAAAAATAATACATTTAAAAAAGTATATTCTGTTTAAAAAAAATATATTATTCTAAATGAAAAAAGTAATAATTTTCGTAACTTTTCTGAGAATTGTAAAATCAGCCATTAGGAGTTTATGCTGCGTAATCATAGATGGCGCTGTTTACATTTTCTACAGATAATTATTTACTACAGTTAAAACGGTCACCACATCGTCTGTATAAGAAAACAAAAATAGCTCGAAGAATAGCCCGATGACTGTCCAAGTTTTTTGTATGGGATGGGGGTACAATATACTCTGGGCGGGCATCTATGTATACTAATGTTTGTAATTTGTTAATTATAGTATTGTGTGATCTATGATACTTTATTGTCGGACTTATAATACTCTTAGTGACTAGCAATTAAATGTTGTTCGACTTGATCGCGTTAAATAATAGCCACTAAATATTAACATATAAGTGCGTAAGACCGACGACGCATTGCTTTGAATCTTGAACTTGATCGGCTCTAATAAAACTTAGATAAATTTTAATTACTACAGTTATACTACTCATAAAATGAAATTAGTTCTTTTAATATCCAGTCTAGAAGTTCTCCATTAATATCCCATTAAACAAACAAAAACAAATTTGCTAATTTCGTTTCATTGCGTTCTATATTATGTTCCCCTAACATATTCAAATAAAAATATTTAACTTAATAAAGTTTTTCAAATAAATTATGAAGATCACAAGAATACAGAAACAGATTGAGTTATGTTAAGTAAGTCCAATTCTTCCCAATAACAAAAGATCGTTAAAACATTTAAATAGTCTCATATTCATGCTCCATGGTTATTAAATTATATGATTGTCCACATCAAAATCGTGTCAAATTGCAAAGCTGGTGTAAAGGCGACGTCACCGTTATTTACGGCAACGATGATAATAGAAGTAACTTTCATATAATACCATAAAAATAGCTATCTAATATGTAACGCCATGTAAATCCACACTAGTAAGCACCAGGCATGCGATCGATGCATTTCAAACGTCGCACGCGCATCAAAGTTTGCGCACGCTCGCAAATATTCGCGATACCACTATTGTTAAGAATTTTTTTTATAATAATTCTAATACTGGCGCAATAAAAAAATAAATAGAAAATAAAATTAAATTGTGCTGTGCTTTTCATCTGTCGTTTATTGGATGGATTAAATGACAGGTAAGCTGTATTTTTGTAACATTATTTTTTAATTTATGAAATCACCAATTGTAATAGCCATATTTTTAAGGTAATAAAGTATATTTAATTCCATTCATTATTTAGATTTTATGCCAAGCCTTAACTTACAATGTGCGAAATAAGGCTTCTTTCTAGTTGTAAATCATTATCACTAGGTACTTACTAAAAAAACTAAAAAAGGCAAAAGCAATATTTTTTTATGTAGCCAATGGCCACAACCGGAGTTTAAAGTATCTCCATTATCATACCTTTCATCGAACTCGGTTTATTCGTTTATCCGTAGGTAAATACCACAGATATTACAACCTATTGTCTGTGGTAAATACTAAACGGACAGACAAAGTTACTTCCGCATTTATAATATAAAAACACGTAAAACCTAGTCGAATATTTTAACGAATAACAAAATAACGTACCTAACAATTTTAGAACTTAGAATGCAATGCCTGTATTATAACAATTATCCTGTACTATTAATGATGAAAGACTCGTGGAAGTATTTGTATCAAAAGTTTTTATTTAATATTATATATTTTATTAATAAATGTTTTTTTTTTATATTTTAAAAAGGCTGTACAATGTACCTATACATTAATTAATAGCAATGGCAAATAAATTTTGACCTTATAATAAATACGAGCCTTATCTATGAATGTTTCTTGAAATGAAAACGATGATTCTCTAGTGATCGGTCGATCACGAAATTCAAGTTAGAAAGTTGAAAAATCGTGATGATACTGTCGGCTATGTTTTTAATATTTAAATTAGACTGGTTTCTCGCGAAAGCAATTATCAAAGCTCGACAATTTTAACTAATATTTGTTTGTTGTAAACTTCAGACGAAATAGTCTTAAAACATAAATAATAATAAAAAAAAACAATTAAAGATATCTAAGTGTACCTTATCTTCAATTATTTACCCTGAAGTTTAAAACACTTTACTTAATTTTTACGTTATGTGATAGGTAAGCCATAGAGTTATTAATAGATCAACTCTTCCTATTTTAAATTTTATAACTTTAAAGTAATATTATATATTAGTAATACGTATTAATGAATCAGATATCCTTTTTTTAAATTATAACATAAAATTACACAAGAAATTTTTTTTTTGTGTGAGTAATGTGTATTTTAAATTTTTACACTATCATAGATCATCGCATTAAAACAAAACAGAATGTTTATAGCTATAATATATAGGATAAAAATATTGGTTATTATCTCATATCTAAGGTTATTTTATTGATTTATCTGTCACACGAGCGCAAAAGTAGTTAAATGAATTAAGTTTTTAAATTGTGTTCAATAACATGGAGAATAAAGTCTATATGAGCAGTACCTAAATAGATAATATAATATCCAAACCAAACCCGAATTTATACCAAAAACATATTGACCAGTCTGCAGAGGCCAAAGTGCTAATTTCTCTTGTAAAAAGCTTTTGATTAATGTTTTTGAACTACTTCCAATTCTAAACATTCCAGTAAAATAGTATACTAATATATAATTTTTGATTAATATTAATGAATTGATGAGCGATTCGTCAAGTCGACTTAGGATTAGTACGTAAATACGAGTTCTTCGTTGACGGCGACTTACAGTGAATCCCACGTATCTATTGTTCAGAGATAAAAATTCGACATATGTATGGAGCTTATGTCAAATGCCATTTCTAGTTGGAAAAACTAGATCCCATCAAAAACATTCTGTAAAAATATTGCAAGTCTCGCAACGCATTTCTTCTACCTCAAAAAGCTATGAGATGTAATGTAAAACCAAGTCGGTTAATTTATTCATTACCTATCTATGAAAGCATCTATCCGACAACTTTGTCATAAATCGTTACCGAATTAGTTAAGTTACAACATTTTATAGTGACCGTATTAATATTAGATATATTTATTTCTTTAATTAATAGAATGACTTGGCCATCGCACGGAAACATAATCACATAAGAGTCTACTACTTTAAATAGTCCTAATTAAACATACCAGGTCCAAGGTGGACGGACGACTTGGTCAAAGTCTGGAGCCCACTGGATGCGGATGGCACAAGACTGGTTGTCGTGGAACTTTTTGGGGGAGGCCTATGTCCAGCTGTGGACGTGTTTGAGCTGAGATGAACTGAACATAGCACTAGCGGGTCAAATTTATGCATACACTAACATAAAAAATGCACTCAGAACGCTAATTTTAGGTAAATTTTGTTATTTGTAGATTCTATTATCATGTGCGATGGCCAAGTCATTCTATTAATTAAAGAAATAAATATATCTAATATTAATACGGTCACTATAAAATGTTGTAACTTAACTAATTCGGTAACGATTTATGACAAAGTTGTCGGATAGATGCTTTCATAGATAGGTAATGAATAAATTAACCGACTTGGTTTTACATTACATCTCATAGCTTTTTGAGGTAGAAGAAATGCGTTGCGAGACTTGCAATATTTTTACAGAATGTTTTTGATGGGATCTCATTTCTTTTTGTAAATATTTCTCCTTTTTCTCTTTTCTTGTACTATTTCTTGTGTGTCAGCTAAGGACTTTTTAAAAGCCCACTCCTTGTCTCTGTGGGCTTTTTTCACAGGCTTTGATATAGGTAACAAATTTTGACAAGTCTAAGTCTATTGTATTGGTATCAAAAATCTAAGTCTATTGTATTGGGAAATTACGGACTCCTGGACTTTAATACTACTATCTTATGCATTAAGAATAAATATGTATAGTTAATTTAACGAATATTTAAATTTCATTGTTGACCCTAAATACCTACCCCGATACTGATATTCGACTTACATAAGTTTAATAAGATGTGTAGATTTATGTGTCTATCTGCAGCATCGTAGTTAAATCCCGAAAGTTGTATTCCATTCCATTTTAAAAGTAATTTTCGAAGAGATTGATATTTCATGACCTCTATATTCCATGTTCTAATAGGTGGGTACAATTACGAGCAATGAGATGTTGAGAAGGTTTTCTAATTCATATCAACATCATACTTTGTAAAAAAAAAT